TATTTCTTCATCAAGTGATCTTCCTGAGAAAGTCCTAATTTTGGTTTTTTGTTTTTCAATGCTTACTAGGTTCCTATTGTACCATATGGTGGAGCTACATCAATTGAGGGCCACACCTTATCTCCTAATGGAGGTGTTTGCCTTGACATGTCATTGATGAAAGTGCGTATTGATCTTTTTGGTTGGCGTGAGTTTTTTTCACTGATTCGACTGATGCTTTTAAATTATTAAAAAACTTGAGTTTTTGGACTTATACAATAATTAATTATAAAGCAATCTGTGTCTTGACTTACACCCCAGAGAAGGAAAAATAAGTAGAAAAAATGTTCTTGGTGTCTTCATTGGCTCTGCCAATGTTGCTAAAATCATGCAAGTTCAGTATCATGCAAATTCTACCATCTTCTTGCTAAGATAACCAGTGTGAAAAAAGAAAATGGAAAAAATGATGTGAAAAATAAACATATCGAAAATGAGCGATGTTCTTCATTGCTGATTAGATTTGAGTGGTGTCATGCTTGATGCTGCCAACTATTTAAATTCTGAAGCCTTATGTTTTTTTTCTAAATGTCAATCTCTTTATCCTAAATTCATTAATTATCTATTATTGACTTCTCTCCTCATTTCATCTTTTGGTTCGTGAAGGCCAACTACTATAATTATCTCTTATTTTCTGCTTTCTGAGTTCCTCAAATGCCTCTCTCCCTCTCTCTCTCTCTATCTATTTATCTATCTATCTATCTCTCTCTCTGTTTTATATGCTGGATGAAGTGTTTATATTGTAGAGTGTCAAAGCATTACATATTGAGGATATGGATGTGGTTGTTGAGCCTGGTGTTGGATGGATGGAGCTTAATGAATACTTGGAGCCATACGGTCTATTCTTTCCCCTTGATCCAGGTTAGGTTATGAGAGGTTCTTTTTTTAAAAAAAAAAATTAGATGTAACAAATGAATCATTTTTCTGGATGAGATTGTTCTCTCTCTTTCTCACTCTCTCACATGAAGTAAACTGATTACGTTCATTCGCAACGCACCCAAAGGGACACCACTGCTATCACAATGATTTACATATTGGCAATTGATCAATCTCTATAGCATACCTACTATTTGCTCTTC